ATAAACCAGACCCTGGTCTCCAGCCTGTTTGTCAGTTTAGGAATGTTAAAAATCTAATAAACCTGAACGTCGTTGTTGTTGTTGTTGTTTTTTAAAAAAAGAGAATAAAATCAAATTAAAATACAAAGTAACTATGTTTAGTTAGCAAGTTGCAAAACCCATGTCAGGTGCCCCTCCCTACCTGTAAGCAAACAATTGTGGTCTACCTTAGACAGCCGTGGGAGCTGTTGCTGTGATAATACAGTGTTAAGTACTTGGAACATTTTCGAGTCATTTGGATGGCGGTGTGATCTTTCTCGTTTTCGCACACAGTTAAGCTGCAGGATCGTCATTTCAGTTCCCTGCAAAACTGCCTGGTGGATTTCAAGGGCAAGTTGAAACAGAGCTGAGAATGGGTCTGACACCCCCTCAACACAACGACGCTATCCTACTACAGCGGTACTCGGTGGCCTAAAGCAACCTCAGGTAGCAAGCTCACATACGCAGGTGGGCTGTCTTTCTCAAAAGCTATTTTAAACAAAACGTTCATTAAATCAGGGCAAGGCGTTACGTTATGACCTTTCTGACAAAGCTACGTTGTTCTGAAAATGCAGAAAAAGAAACCTCCTAATTTTCAGTCCTTTGATTAGTCTAGTGTAGTGAAAAGGACCAGGGGGGGGAACATGATAGCAGTCTTCCAGTGTTTGAGGGGCTCTGTAATGACCCAGGGTGGGATACAAAAGCAACACAGTCACAAAGACAGGTGTAGTCCCTTTAATTCCTTCAACTTGGCTTCAGTGGTCCAATTATTGACTGGAGAGAAAAAAAAAACTCCCCCACAAACAGTTGCAAAAAGGAAGAAATTCCATTCAAACTCAAAGTACATATAAATTATAAATAGAAAAATAAACAACACAAACCACACTGAAGAATTAATGAGACAAGGCAGGATAAGGGCTTGAAGACGTCCACAGATATCAAAATACACACACTGGGAAGGACGCCAGAACTCAGATAAGAACCGATAGACTAAAATTATTTCCATGCTTTGCTTCCAGCACTGGGACATGTGCAGTTTGTCCTTTTAAACACTCCTCCCAGCTGCAGCCCATGAAGGGGATCAAGGCCCTTTCCTCCCTCATAGACCACACCATTCACGTTTCTCCCTTATCCGCTCCTCCCTGTGTGCCCTAGGATGAAGCGAGGATGGGCCTGGGTCTTCCTCTGAATGCCCAGCCGGCCTGTGCCCTTCCCCAGTTTCCTCCACAACCTCCGGAGTCACATTCCCACTCTCTATCAGCTGTTCTTCCTCTTCCTCTGAGTCAGATTCTAACAGGGGCATGACAGACTCCTACAAAGAGGAGGGGGGTCAACCTATTCTCCACAGCACCTTGAAGGCAAGACAGGAGGCAACTGATGGACACTAATCAAGGAGAGAAGCAACCTGGAATTAAGGAGAACTTTCCTAATGATGAGAACAATCAATCAAAGGAGCAGATTGCCTTCAGAAGTTATGGATGCTCCTTCACTAGAGGTTTTGAAGAAAAGTCTTCTGCCTCCAAGGTCCCTTCCAAAGTTATTCTATGTTCTAAGACTTTGTGGAGCCATCAACTAACCCAATTTTCCACCTGAAAGAACTTGAGGTTCATCACAACCTCAAGACCCTCCTTTGGGTCTTTTAAGCACCAAGGTGGCATGGCGGCTTTGCAGCACCCCTCATGGGAGCAAACAGGGGGGATTATTTTGTCTATGATCAGACCATGTCCATGGATAGTAAAAACACAGGTGGCGGTTGGGTGCAAACAGTTTATTTTATTTCTGCCTTTCACAAAGTTAAAATTCCTGATTTATGTTCCTTGTTCCCAGCCTGTCAGAGCTGATAGAAGCATTTACAGTTTAAGACTCTTAGCTCTGCAATGCTCCAAAGGACACTTGAAATGCTTCTACTCAGACGATTAAACTAGCCCTGCTAAGGCACCCACAACTGTGTGGAAAACTTCGCTCAAATGTCATTGTGCACTGTGGGGTGCACGGCTAACTCACAGTTCAATGCAAAGTGTTTCCTTACTAAGAATGACGATAGGTAGTCCTCGGCTTACAACAATTGAGGGCAACCTTTCTGTTGCTAAGCGAGACCTTGGTTAAGTGAGTTTTGCCCCATTTTACAACCTCCTGTCATGCCCCTGTTGGAGTCTGATTCCAAGGGCGGGGGGGTGTTGAACAGCTGACAGGAAGTGGGGGTGTGGCTCCAGTGGCTGTGGAGGAAACTGGGGAAGGGCACAGTCCGGCTGGGCATTCAGAGGAAGACCCAGGCCCACCCTTCTTCATCCTAGGGCATTCAGGGAGGAATGGAGAAGGGAGCAACGTGAGTTGTGGCTTATGGGGGAGAAAAGGGCCCTGATTCCCTCCATTAGCTGCAGCTGGGAAAACAGGATTTAAAAAGGGCGTTTGCGCACAGAACCTTGCTGGAAGCAAAGTGTGCATTATCTTCTTTTTGTCCAGTCTTATCTGGGTTCTGGCATCCTCCCCACTATGTGTGTTTCGTTATCTTTTAAAGTCTGCAATTCCTTATCCTGCCTTGTCTCATTAATTGCCACAGTGTGGTTTGTATTGGTATTTATTGATCATCTATATTTACTTTGGGTTTGAGTTCAGACTGAATTTCTTCCCTTTAAAGACTGTTCTTGGGAGAGTTTTTTCTCCAGCCGATGATAACTGGACATTGGAGGCCAAGTTGGAGGAATTAAAGGGACTTTACGTACTTTTGTGACTTTGTTGCTTTAGTGCCAGGCCCCTTTGGGTCATCACACCTTCCTTGCCACTGTTGTTAAGTGAATCACTACAGCTAAGGGAGTCACATGGTTGTTGATTGAATCTGGCTTCCTCATTGGCTTTGCTTAACAGAATAACAGAGTTGGAAGGGACCTTGGAGGTCTTCTAGTCCAACCCCTTGCTCAAGCAGGACACTTTATGGCATTTCAGACAAATGGTTGTCCAGTCTCTTCTTAAAAACTTCCAGTGATGGAGCACCCACAATGTCACACTGCAACCACTGGCTTGGTGGGCATGGCTTGGTGGGCATGGCTTGGTGGGCATGGCTTGTTAGGTGTGGCAGGGGAAGGATATGTCAGAATATATATATTCATGAACTGGAATAGAGCTTGGTAACAAGGTCAGCCAATGAAGAGGCATAGCAATTAAGTCAGCCAATGAGGACTGTTTGGAAACTGAAACTAGAAGTAGCCTAGGCTGGAAACTGAAACTAAAAGTAGTCTAGGCGTGACTCTATGTTAAGCTCTGCAACTCTGCAGCTATGGTTGAAGCTCTGAGAGTCTGTCTATTGAAGATGAAACTAACTTGCTTGCTGAAAACTGGAGTCTGCTCTGAACTTGCAACATGTTTCTGTTTGAGTTTGTTCCATGTTGGAGAGAAATCTACAACTGGTTTGTAAAATCTACTTGTTATGTTTATAAAGAAGTCAAATGAAGCGTCAGCCATCTGTGTTTATTTTTCTGGTGCAGAATTATCACTGCCAAACTCTCAATGGGATACTGCAAAATCCCCATTCCCTCCCCACCCCACTAACCCTGCTTTCCCGTTCCGTTCTCCTGTGCAGGGCAACCAAAGAAGACCCAGCCAATCAGCTGGGACCCAGGAGGCAGAGAACAGAGGGGGGGCGGGGCCAGCCAGAGGTAGTATTTGCCGGTTCTCCAAACTACTCAAAATTTCCACTACTGGTTCTGTAAAACTGGTTCGAACCGGCTGAATTCCACCTCTGCACAAAGGGCCTCTCATTTGTGTTTGCTCTTTGCCCAACTCCATAGGTCTTTATGTTCTCGGGGACACACACACACACGCACACACACCTACTCTCTTTTGTTGTTTGTGTTGTATAATGGGCATTGTGCTCAGAGAGCTCCTACTCTCAAAAGAAGACGAACAATTGTGCTTCCAGCCATTCTCTGTCTCCTTAATGGATTCCTCGTGACGAGAAGAAGATGGATGGGGCCATCACGAGTGAAAGAGGGTGACATCACCGGGGGAATCGATAAATCTTTGGGGATATGGCAGGGCAATTAGACAATTAGAACCCTATCAAGAAGGACCAATGAATGATAGGGATTCATTTATATAAGAATGGCTAAGGAATAAGGAAACCCCAGCTTCCCGTTTCTGCCTGGACAGATTTACGGATTGTACGACCTCAAGTTCGTCTTTCTTCTTCTTTTCTTTCTTCTTCCCACGTTTAAGCCTTCAGTCCTTAAGCATAGCGTCCTGAATGACAAGGCGGTCCTCGATTTACGACCACAAGGGAGCCCCCACATTTCTAAGTTGCTAAGCAAAACGCTGGTCAAGCGAGCTTCATCCCATTTTACGGCTTTCCTTGCCGCGGTTGTTTAGTGAATTGCCACGGTTTTTCAGTTAGTCGAACGGCCGTTAAGTGAATCTGGCCTCCTGTCATGCCCCATAAAACATTTTATATAGTTTTTCCTTATACGATGTGGCCAATATTTTTGTGTGTGTGTCTCTCCCATAAAGTTTGCCATTTATCCAAATTAATACCGTATCCAACATTTTTAGCCCATGCCAGCATCATTTCTTTTACCTGTTGTTCCTCTAGCTTATAGTCCAGTAAGAATCTATAAATTTATTCAATAACGTTTTTGTAAAAAAAAACAAAGCAAAACAAAAACCCTTGCATTTCTTTAGAGAATTTTGTCTATTTTCACAAACCTGGACAATGCACTCTATAGATTAGATGCCCGTTAATGCCAAGAAATTATTGCGTTGTACGCAGCATTCGCAAAGCAGAGTACACAGTTTTAATAAAAGGAAATAGTGGGAGAAAAAAATAAATAAACCCAGCCCTGAATGTACACAAAAGATACTCACACCCAGCACATAACTTTGGAAAGCAGACGTGTGGGACATTTATCTGAGGGCTCTCGTTCCGCTCCACAAAAAAACAAAAAAAAACCAAATCCATAAACCTGTGCAACAAATCTTTGCAAAACCCTTACCTGTCACAATCTGTTGTCCAGTTAATCCCACCGGTACCATTCCTAGGTTATTCATTGCGGTCGCCCAGGCTGATGGATCAGTGACTGACATGTTAAATTGCGCCGTGTCTATAGCTATGTTCCCCAAGCCATCAGCTGCTGATGGGAGAGAAAACATATTTTGATCAGCAAGATGACCAGATGGGTCAGTGGGCAAACTAGAGAAATCTCTTCCATTCTTGCAGTGCTGTTATTTCAGAACGTATCTTCCCCCCTCTCGCCATTCTCGTTCTCATCATCTACGGGGGAAAATATGCCGTGGCAACCACAAAGCAAAAAAAAAAAAACCAAAAAAAAAAAAATCCAATATATACAATGTCTGTTGAGACATAACCCAATAAAGGGCAAAGGTTCCTATGGAAACAAATTCCCAAGGACACTGATAGGGTTTTGCGAGAATAATGAATTTAGTGTGGCAAGGAACCGAGGGGCACTTGAAAACTTCACCTCTGCTGTGTGTTTCTGACTGCAGGCCCCTCTGGCAGATTTCACGCCTGTGCCAAAATCTAGTTTTCTTTTTCTTTTCTTTTTTTCCCGGCTTCTGTACTCAGTATCATTTATGCTGGAATAGCACCACACAAATGTTTCTCAGGGGTAATAGGATGAATTTGAGCTAGGCAGGACTTAGAAAATTGGAAGGAAATGGATATCAAATCAGCCAGGCGTATCCCACGTTCTGGGCAAGATCCAGAAAATATTAACCTCCCATCCTGACCTCCAAGTGAACTAATGCAATTGTGGTATGTAAGGTACCCCAAATTTAATCGTCTATGGAGATTCTCATCCATCTAGGTCATGACTGTCCCAAAGGAGCTTTTGCAAAAGACAACTGGACTTTGTTTTTGTTTTTTCTTGAAGATGTTTTGCTTCTCATCCAAGAGGCTTCCTCAGTTCTGATTTAACAGTGGAGGATGGAAGGATTTATATCGCTCGCAGTTATCTGGTTGTTAGGTCTCCCTCTGAGAGTCACTGAGGCCACTTGGAGAGTTTATCTGGTTATCTGTCCAAGTGGCCTCAATGACTCTCAGAGGGAGACCTAACAACCAGATGACTGTGAGGAATATAAATCATTCCATCCTCCATTGTTAAGTCAGAACTGAAGAAGCTTCTGAGATGAGAAGTGAAATGTCTTCGAGGAAAAACAAAGCCCGTTTGCTTTTTGCAAAAAGGAACTTTGGGACGAATGCAATTCTTTTTTAAAACAACAATAATAAAATAGACATGCAACCGGAACTATCAAACAGACATTCACCTGTGCCCATGGTTCCGTTGGGTATTTCTCTCAAACGTTGTCCTGGCGTACATTGACTTCTTCATTTGCAAATATATTAACAGCTGGAGAGGCGAAAAGTTCTCTCCATTCCCAGGTCCTGGATCCACTTTTAGCGCGGTATGCTTTGGAAGGGGAAAAAAGGAGAAAAAGAAAGAAAGAAAAGAGTCAGGAATTGAACATTATTTTAAAACCGTTCTTCCTGGCGAACTTTGCCAGATGGATAGGCATAGCTTTCCAGAGGAACCTCAAGGGTAGCCCCGCTCAGGACATCAAAATGGATATTACGCCGGTGGAGGTTCCCGCTCAATGAGAACAAAACTGTCCTGCTACATAAACTCTGGTGTAATGTTTTGCCTCTGCTTAAACGCTCCAGTCTTTCAGTTTTATCAGCTGCTGCACAGCTGCTTTTCCAACCCAGCTTCTGCTGGGAGGACCGACTTAAGACTGGAAATGCCTTCTTTAAAAAGTTAAAAATTAATTGATATTGAAAGGCCGAAGAAACAACTTCATTCTGGATTATGTTTCTGGGTACAAAAACGAAAAAAATAAGGCAGGCATACAGAAAGGGGGTGGGTGGGAGTTACCTTGATGCATTTTCAAGCTAAGAAATGGGTTTTTATTTATTTGCAAAGTAGCATGCCATCCCTTGGTATCTTAAAAATCATGGTCAAGGCAAGAGAGTTAAAAACAGTTTCTCTAAAGGTTTAAAGGTGGGTCATTTAGCTCTTCTCCTTGTCTTTTGAAGTGGGGGGGGGACTGCAATAACTTAAAGCACATTCAAAGGATAATGGGTTCTGTGTTATCAATGCAAACTTAATTTATAGTGATCGGCAGTCTTCCGATAAATAGCTTACATTCAGCAGGGCTGGCACCCAAAAATTCCAGAGATGTTATTTGACATCACTAGTTACTTTATACTACCGTATTTTAATTCATAAAAGATGGAAGGGTCAGAAGTGTGTTTTTTACTCCCAACTTGAGAATGTCTCTCTATTGATATTAAGAGATATAATAATAATAATAATAATAATAATAATAATAATAACAACAACAACAACAACAACAACAACAACAACAGCAACATAATATTGACATTCTCAAGATATAATAATGTGATCACATGGGTTAAGGCTCTCAAACATATATCCCAAGGAGTGTTATATATACATTATATGTTATTATGATAGAAGAGAAAGTGAGAGACAGCTGATAAATAAAGATATAGAGAGAAAGACAGGTAGGCAGAAAAAGATTGATAGATGGATGGATGGACGGACGATAGGATAGGATAGGATAGGATAGAATAGAATAGAATAGAATAGAATAGTTGGGAGGGACCTTGGAGGTCTTTTAGTCCAAACCCTGATTAGACAGGAAACCTTATATCAAAAAGATATAGATCGATGGATAAATGGATGGATGGATGGATGGATGGATGGGTGATAGATAGGTAGGTAGGTAGGAGGTAGATAGGTAGGTAGATAGATAGATAGATAGATAGATAGATAGATAGATAGATAGATAG